GGTCACAAGGAAAGCAGACATAACTCGGAGAATGACAACAGTGAGATCACAGCCTCTCGGCTTTCAGTCACCTTCGTGGCCAGGAGGCAGAGAGAAAGGTGGGGTGAAGGCAGCCGGAGACTGAGGGTCTAATCTCATGTTCCAGCCTCATTCTGTTGCTGTGTCAAAGACCATCACCAAGGCAGTTTGGGAGAGGAAAGGACTTATTTCGTTTTACAGGTTACAATCAACTCTTGAGGGAACTCAGAAACTCAGTGGAGACATTGAAGTAGAAAAAATGGAGGCGCACTTGCTGGCTCCTTTGCAGGCTCGTTCTTAGCTAGGTTTCTTATTCAGCCAAGGCTCACCTGCCTAGGAATGGCACCAGCCACAGTGGGCTCTTCTGGGCCACCCCATCCCTTATCAACTGGACAGACAAACACATCACTTTAAGCATAACCATTCAATTCCTTGTCCCCCAAATTCTTTATGTTAATATCACAATTTAAAACACAGTCAAACGTCTACGTCTTGAAATTTTTCAGTACTATAAAAGTCCAAGGTCTCTTTAACAGATGCTCAGCCCTGCATCAACCCCACCACCTCCACCAAGGCTGAGTACATCACAGCACAGGAGGCAGGAAGAACGCAGGAGCGGGGGAGGGGAGGCGTGCTGGGAAGGCCGTCTCCTGGACAAGGCCCTGCTGTCACTCGGCCGTGCCAAAGCCAGCGTCCTGGCGTGGACGGTGTAGATGACCCCCCCACTCCACACCAAGGTGCTATCGGTGGTGTTCAGATTCTGAGAGAGGGAAAATCTCATTATTTTTTGAGTAGTTTTGCCATGGCCCACTCCATAGGCTGCCATAGGACGCCATAGGACTTAGTGAGTTATGAAGAAAAAGAAAAAAAGAAATGAAGTTGAAAAGGGGCATGCTGAGAAGAAAGGGAGGGGCTGGAAGGGGTTAAAATTCTTAAAAAAAAACAAAAACAAAACAAAACAAAAACAGAAAAAGAAGAAGAAACCAAAAGCGTGGCTCCTAAAATATGGAAAACAGTTTCATAATTTCTTACTCCAAGAGAAAAACAAAAACAAAACAAAAGCAAAACCGCAGTTGGAAGGCTGTGTCCTCAGCACACAGCTTGGCTTAGGCTTGGGCTGGTACCGCACAGTCTTGGCATCTCCCCTGGGTCTCCACTGCGGCTGAGGCTGCCCTTTGCCAGTGACCTCTCCACAGGGACCCCTACCTGGACACGTGCGCCAGATCTCAGCTGCTGTCTGTGACCCCTTCAGGCCTTCACAGGCAGAGCCACCCAGCCAACTTTTGCATACTACTTGCCAAGTTCAGACCTTAGTTAACTTTTTAATTAAAAAAAAAATGAATCCCAGCACCTAGGAGGCAGAGGCAGAGGCAGGTGGATCTCTGTGAGTTCCAGGCCAGCTTGGTCTACAGAGTTCCAGGACAGCCAGGGCTACACAGAGAAACCCTAAAAACAAAACAAATGTAGCCAGGCGTGGTAATACTCACCTTTAATCCCAACACTAGGGAGGCAGAAGTAGGTATATCTTTGTGAGTTTGAGGCCAGCCTGGTCTGCATAGTGACACCCTGTCAAAAAAATTAAAGTAAAACTTTCTAATACAATAAAACCCAGAGATACACCAACTTGGTATTTATATGCTAAGGAATTACAGCAGAAAAAAAAAAACATTCAAGTATTCAATCTCCGTAGTTACTGTTTTATAAGCACATGAGAGCCACATTTATCCTGTCTTGTTAGAGTTTTTATTGCTGGGATGAAACACCAAGTCCAAAAGCAACTTGGGGAGAAAGGTTTATTTTACTAGCACTTCCATAGCACTGTTCACCTCCAAAGCAGTGAGGGCAGGAACTCAAGCACAGCAGGAACCTGGAGGCAGGAGCTGACAGGGAGGCCATAGAGGGCGCTGCTCACTGGCTTGCTCCCCATGGCTTGCTCAGCCTGCTTTCTTATAGAACCCTGGGCCAGCAGCCCAGGGATGGCTCCACCCACAGTGGGCGGAGCCATCCCCCATCAACCACTAATTAATTAACCTTACCGGCTTGACTTATGGGGAGTGAAAGTTCCCTCCTCTCAGCTCTCTATAGTTTGTGTCAAGTTGACATAAAATTAGTGACCATATATACTAAAATTACCATACTTTGTTATATACAAATTTATGGAATTGAAAACTATCAGACTGAGGTAACCCGAGCACAGAAAGACAGATGCCATGTGCTTTCTCTCACTTGTGAACCTTCAATCCGAATTTTCAGGTTCTGTGCTCAAACTGTAATAAGAGTCAGCAAAGGTCAGGAAGCAAGAAAGGAACCATGATGAGGAAGGGAGCCTAAGGATCTGGGTAGGAAAACAGGTGACATGAAAGAGGGAGGGCTATGAGGTATGGGAGGGTTAGATGGGGACGGGCCAGGGGGTGGGGAACAGAGGGGGTATGAGGGATACTTAACTGAAACTGAGGAGACATGAAAAAAATAAGGAAACTATCTAAAAATACATAATTTATAAAACATTACAACTAAAGATAAAAACTAAAAGCATTTGTACGAGAGCATTCTACACGGGCACTCCTTAATCTCTGCGCCATGCACGAGACACCTCCCTGTGAGTCTTTTGTCAGGGAGGTCTTCAAAGCCCTCCAGACAGTACAGACCATTTCTTGTGGTTGTCCACGGAGGCAGATGGTAAAATCATATTGCTGAGGGCACCACACACGTTGGTTGCAGGACAGAAACACCAAGCCTGGACCTGAAGCTTCCTCCTGCTGGCTAGCTTCACGGTGTCAGCTGTTTAACCCAGCTGTGGGTCCTGCCTCTTACAACCCCAGCTGACCAGGCAAGCCGTGCCCAGCTGCTGCAGGATCGGCATGGCTGCTCAGGGGCGACTAACTGCTTTCTGATTGGAGCTAAGGTTTCCTCCGTAGGAAGGAAGTCACGCCTGGTACTCTAAACCTTGTTAAAAGCCCACTGGCTGAGATCACAGGCCCCGGAAGAGGTGGGTGGGGCAGGGGCCACCATTGTTTGGGTGAAGCGGACATCTAAGTATTGTGCTTAAACCCATAAAACAGTGCTACTCTCGGCCCTGGATGGAGAAGCATCCATTTGCAGTATCGAAAGCTAATTCAGAGACTCATAACTTGTCAAAGCACTGAGAGTGAGTGACTGCTGAGTGTTGAGTCCTAAATGAGACATCTCTGTCATCCCCAAGGTCCAGGCTCTGCTGGGGAAGAGGGCTGGAAAGACTGTAAGAGCTGGGTGATGCTGAGGAATGCTGTGAGGCGCTGTCTGACAAACACGTTGTGACCACCGACTCACACACAGCTACCTAAATAAGATCCACCGTAGGTGGGTAGGTAGGTAGATAGAGGGTGGGCAGATAGATGGATGCATGGATGGATGGGTGTATGTGTGTGTGTGTGTGTGTGTGTGTGTGTGTAGATGGATGGATAGACAGACAGATGACATGAAAGTAGGAGGGGGCTAGTTGGGAGAAATAAAGGGGTCAATGGGAGTTGGAAGATTAAAAGGTTAAAAGTGTGAATGTGAGCACAATACACCACGTGCATGTTGAATTCTCAAAAAAATGCTCTAAAATTCCTGAATATGCCCCACTAAGTCATTGAACTGTATAAATGGGCAAATTAACACCGTGTAAACTATTTATCAATAAAGATTTTGATTTTTTTTTTTCTTAGAAATACGGGGGCTTGGGAGATGTCTCAGCAGGTAAGAAATCCTGTTGAGCACACATGAAGACCTGGGTTCAAATCCTAGCACCTATGTAAAAACCCTGAAGTGGTCCCCTGTGTGCCTGTAACCCCAAGACTGGGGAGGTAGAGCTGAGATGGGAGGCTTCCTGGCCATCAGCTTAGCTCCAGGTTCAGTGAGAGTAAGGCAGAGAGTGGTAGAGACACCCAGCACCGTCGACTGCCCTCTGTAATCATTAAATGCAATCATAAAAGCATCGTCAGTGTCTACGATAGGCTTTTATTATAAGAATCCCCTTTAACGCTTATTTTATCTTAAAAACAAAACAAAAAGTTGGAGGCTAGGGTGATTTGTCACCCGGACAACCATGCAGCCATCCCCTGGCGCTTGGCTGCTTTGAATGGACTATCATCCAAGCGGCCCCCTCCTGGCAGCCAGCTGGTCTGCTGTCATGGCAGCCTGGCCGCTCTTGAACGCTCCGTGGATACCTCCAGGAAGCTACAACCTCTCAACGCTAAAACACAACTCCTGCTCCAGAAGGCACTATTCTAGCCCTGACTACTCCCAACCGCTTACATGGACATTTTGCCATCGGAAGCCTCTGTAGACCTTAGCGGCCACTTCACCTAGGCCAGAGGGAAAACACTTTGCCTGAAAACCCAACAAAAAGTCTGCGATGAGCACCAACGGTCCCGCAGCTGCATGCAAGGCTGTGCCGTACGATGAGGCTGTTGGGACGCTTCTTCTGGGGCCCCGGCCGTTCCTGTGCTGCCCCTTAGTATTGAAACACTCATATTGGCTCTTCTGCAACTCCATGGCCTAAGGATTAAAAAAAAGAAAGAAAGAAAAGAAAAAAAGAAAGAAATCTTTGAAAAAATAAAACAAATCGGAAGAAAAACAAAAACCCCAGTTTGCGCCGGAGAGACGGCTCGGCGGTCAAGACGCCTGGCTGCTCTTCTGAAGGACCTGGGTTCAATTCCAGGACTCCCGTGGCAGTTCCAGGGGAAGCGACATCCTCACACAGGCAAGCATGTAGGCAAAGTGCCGGAGCGCATAAAAAACATAAATGAATAATCAATAAAGTAGTTAATTTTGAAAGACACGGTTTGAGTAGAAAACCCCCGATGCCTGCGGCGCAGAGCCGCAGCGCGTTTGCAACAGAGTCGGCCTCCAGCCAAGAGCAAGGCGCGCGCGGAGGCTCACGGCAACTTCCGGGGGTGGGAGGAGCGCGCGCGAGGGGCGGGGCCGCGCGCTTCCGTCACGCGCCGTGCGTCGCCGCGCGCATGCGCTCCTTCCCACGTGCGAAAGCCCGAGACTCGTGGAGTCGGGGGCGCCGCAGACTGCCGGGGCCGCGCGACTAGGACGCAGGCATGAAGCCGGGTAGGTGCCGCGGTGCGAGCGGGAGTGGGGGCCCAGGCGCGGAGGGCGGGGGCCGCGGCGGCTCGGGGACGCGGGGGCCCGGGCCGGAGCGCGGCCCGCAGACCGGCCTGCAGGCTCGCCGCGTCCGACCGCCGGCGCGGCCCTGCAGACCCGGACCCCGAGCGGGGGCTCGCAGCGTGGCTGTCGGCCATCCGCTTGGGCGCAGATGGGCCGGCCCCGGGCTTGAGGCCGGGGCCCCTGTCCCCACCCCAAGCCTTCGCTGTTGCCGGCATCACCCCCTGTCATCCGCCCGCACCGCTACCTTGATCCCCGGCCCAGCTTCCCCGGGTGAACGAGGACCTCCGCTCCCCGCCGCTTCCGGGAGGGGCGGGGCCCCAGACCTGCAGGATTGGGGATCTGGGGACCTGGGAAGCCCTACGCTGCCGCCGTGGGAAGCTTAGCGGTTTCGGCGAATGGAAGTGAGAAGGCTTGGTTTTCTTTCTTTTTTTCTTTTTTTTTTTTGAGAGGGTCTTACCATGTGACCTCTGGCTGACCTGGAACTTGCTATGTAGACAGGCTGTCCTCAAACTCACAGAGATCTCCGAGTACTGGGGTTAGAGGCGTGTGCCACCATGCCGGACCTGGAGTACATGCATTCGGCCATTTCCCGCGTTTTTCTGAGGAGCCGGCTGCTTGGTGGACGGTGGTGAGAGTTCTGGCTTTGACAGTAGAAAGGTCTCGTTTCGCTCTTGGATTCCTAATGGATAAGTGCTTTTCTTAGTAATATGCTAGCCTGGGCTGTGGCAGCACGTGCTTGTCAATCCCAGCGCTTGGGAAGCCGAGGCAGGGAGATCAGGAACTTGACACCAGACTGTGCCACGGTAGTGATGCTGAGAGCTTTTCACCATTGCCCAAGGACAGATCAGTTCTCACTATTACAGGTTTTTGTCTAGTGTTTGCACACATGTCCCCGCGGACAGATGAGAATCGATGCGGGAGATAGTGGCCCATGCTCTTCCTCACAGACGTGTTGACTGTGTGGGACTCAGCTGAAGGAGGGTGGAGAGGTCACCAGTTCTGCAGGCATGCTGTGATCTGTGATTTCCTCCCAGGAATCCTCTTGCCTCCACCCTTTCTCTGTCAAATGATAGAGGTTGTAGAGGTTTCCAGCAGTCGAATCTTCAGACAGTTTGAGGCTTGCGTGACAGGAGCAGCTTTGCAGGAGATTTTTAAACGGGGGTGTGCTGCAGAATCTGGGCATTTTCTTTTTTTAAACAAGGCCCTTTGTTGTTTTTATGTTTGTGTTTTGAGGTGGGATCTTGGATAGGCTGGGCTGGCCTCAAAACTCAGCCTCTGGAATGGTTGCATGTGAGACCTCACTGTGCTGGAGTTGCTGGTTTTGAGGTGGGAGGGCTGCTGGAGGGAAGCAGATTCTAAAACAGCACACTGTGTGTTGACATGGAGTTTGTTTTGTTGCGTAGTGAGACCTTTTGGATCATTTTCCTAGACACTCCAGGACCGGAAATGGATCAAGATACATATTGGGTATCTGGGACTGAGAGTTGACGGTCCTGCCCACTGAGCCCTGTGAAGATGCACACAGCTTGCCAGGCCTCTGTCTGTCAGCCCCACGCCGAGACTCAGAGCCCTGGCTAGTGGCTTCTCTAAGTACTCTTGTGTATACGGAGTCATTTGATTTCATAACTGATTGCCATGCAGCCTCCCCACTTGAGGGGCCCGAGCGATGCTTGCATGGCCATCCTATATGAGCTACAGGAGAGGAGGAACCAGGACACCATTCTCTTCTGAATAAAAACAAGTGGTTTCTCTGTGAGGCGGGATCCTAGGCCTTGGGGATTGAGGATGTGGCGTGCAGGAAGCCATAGGTTTAATCCCTTATGCCCCAGAGAGGTGGGCATGGTGGCCCTCTGGCACTCAGAGGTAGGAGGAGGATCAGAAATTCAGATTCATCCTCATTACAAAGTTCAGAGACCCTGACTCGAAATAAAGTCATCATTAGACATTGACTGCATGGTGCTGGAATGTTGTAACCGTGGAAATCATTGTGGGGGCCAGTGAGCGACAGTGTTAAATGTACTACGATGAGAGAGCAGGGTGGGGGAGCGGGGCCTGTCTCTCCTCCCTCCCACTTCACGAGGAGCTTGAGGGCAGTGGGACCCAGGAGTGACAGGAGCCAGAAAGTGGGAATAGCTCGTGGGTGAGATTTCGAAGCTGGCTGTTGCGGGTGAGGAGGCAGAGCCTCAAGTCAGAAAAGCCAGGTGGGGGCAGGTCCTTGCATGCTGGCTGTACACCCGAGCCCTATAGGGAACTCAAGAAGAAAATGTCCTTCTCAGGGACTCTGAAGAAAAGAAGTCTGATTTTATTGGAGATGGTAAAGTGGGGAAGATGGAAACAGCATGCTTGGGAATATTTGAGAGTTTTGAAGACGAAACTGTTAACTTCAAAAATTAAGTTAGAAGTAGATACCAGGTTGCACAGGTTTGTTTTATTGTTTTGAACTCTGGGGAGTTGAACTCAGGCATGTTAGAGTTACAGTGCCAGCCCCTTAAGTGAAGTGTCATAAAAGGAACAAAAACAAGTGAACAAAAAGAAAAGGTTGTTTTTCCTGTTTCAAATATCACTAAAATTACTGGTCTTTAATCCCAGCACTTGGGAGGCAGAGGCAGGTGGAGCTCTTGAGTTCGAGGCCAGCCTGGCCTTACATTTGGAGCTCAGACTAGTCAGGGATACATAGTGAGATTGTCTCAAAAAAGAAGGCTGGAGAGATGGCTCAGTGGTTACCAGAGGACCATGTTCAGTTCCCAGCACCCACAGGGCAGCCTGCAACTGTCTGTGACTTCTGTACCAGGGGCTCTGACACCCGCATGGAGATACATGTGCAGGCAGAGCACCAGTGAACCTTTTTTTTTTTTTTAAGTTTGAATTTGTCACAGGGTGCCATGACAAAAACTTCAGCAGGTTTATAACTGACAGTGTACATCAAGTGGGGTTATTTTGAGCCATTGCCAATCTTCAAGCTGTACTTTCCGATCAACTCTTGTGCCCTACACATGAGTTTTTGGAACCATCATAGAAAAGTTAAATATCAAACTCAGTAACAGCATCAAGTCCAGTCCCATGCACTGTTTGCTACCCAGTGGACATTTGCTGAGCTGCGGATGCAGCCCAGACTTTTTCCTTCTGAAACAAGGTCTCGGCTTGTAGCCCACTGCTGCCTCCTGCCTCCATGGCCTGGAGTGCTGGAGTCACAGGTGTGGGCTGCTACACCTGGGGTTAAGCCCACACTGCTTTGCTGATGAGCTCTGACCTGCCCATCTAGACCATTGTCCATCCTTAAAAGGACATTTTGGGAAGTTTCTTATTTTTTCCCCCTGTGCTGGGCTGGGAGGGGTGTTACAGTCTTGAACTGAGCCGTGGGTTGAGGTTGGGAGGGCTTTTATCCAGAGGTCTTGAAGATGCTGTGAGGGCAAGGAGAGCCATAGCTACCCAGCGTGTGTGCGTGCTGGGCTCACTAATGCTAAGGGTAAAATGAGCTGTGTGGATCTACTGCCCCACAAGGAAAGCCAGAGTGTCTGCATCACCCCACCCTCATCAGTTAGATGGCCTACCATGCTTTGCCTTTAGCGGCCCCTTGCTGATGATCAGAAGGATATGGTGCTAGTCTCAGCGGTGCAGGCCCATAAACACAGCATTTGGGGGGTGGAGGCAGGACCACCAGGAGCTGCATGGTGACTTATGGCTAGTCTGGGGTACTGGATTCCCTGTTTCAAGAAAACTTGTCGATGGGTTTAGTTTTCTGGAAATCGGTTTTTTGTTGTTGTTGTTGTTGTTGTTTGCTTAGGGGAGGTTCTGGCTTGTTCATCCCTGCTGTACCAAACTGAGGGTCATTATCATGGTTGATTGCTGTTCCTCCTCTTATGTGTTCATTCTGCTGATGGGACACGGTGGGTTCGGCCTGCGTTACTGGCTGCAATAGAGGTGTCCCGGAGCACACAGCGTGTGCTTGGCTGGTTTCTCGCTTCTGTGGGGCTATCGGGTAAGTTTGTTTAACATCATAAGCTCCATCGCCTTAATCCCTTTTTTGTTTCTGCTACAGGCTTCAGCCCCCGTGGTGGTGGCTTTGGTGGCAGAGGAGGCTTTGGTGACAGAGGCGGTAGAGGAGGAGGTCGAGGAGGCCGAGGTGGCTTTGGCGGTGGACGGGGAGGTTTTGGTGGAGGCCGAGGTCGAGGCGGAGGTGGTGGCTTCAGAGGCCGAGGAGGCGGAGGAGGAGGCGGACGAGGTGAGTGAGGTTGGCATGGGGGATTGGAGCAGGTTCTCGAAGGGTGTAGGGAGGGAAGAGGTGGGGCCCCCTCTCCTACTGCAGCTCTCTCTTGCAGGTGGAGGCTTCCAGTCTGGGGGCAACCGGGGTCGAGGTGGTGGCCGGGGAGGCAAAAGAGGAAACCAGTCAGGGAAGAATGTGATGGTGGAACCACACCGGCATGAAGGTGAGTTGTGGCAGGCGGGGACATAGCTATAGTCGAAGGTGAACCATGGCCACACTGAGTCCTCAGCTGCACTCTGCTCTGCGCTCCTCACCAGGCGTCTTTATCTGTCGTGGAAAGGAGGATGCTCTTGTCACAAAGAATCTGGTCCCTGGAGAGTCTGTGTATGGAGAGAAGAGAGTCTCTATTTCAGTGAGTCCTGGACCCCTGTTCAAAATACCAGGCCCCAGCTGATAGTGTCACCTTGGACCTAGTCTTCCTGTTGTGTCTTACACATGACAGCTGGGGGTTGTCTTCATGCGCAGGTCAGGCCATGCGCCCTCCTCCCTTGAGACTCCATGCCCGAGCTGCGGCAGTTCCCAGCTCTCCTCCCAATTCCTGGCCGCCCTGTTGTCTCCAAGCTCTACACTGAACTGGTTCCTTGTCCTCTGTTGCTGGGCAGGCCCTGCCTAGTCCTTGAGGAGGCTCTGTCACTCCACCCTGCTCTTTAGAGCAGTCCCCAGAACCGCAGCCCTGCTTTCCCGTCCTTGTCTCCCTGCTCCTCTCCTGGGCCTGAGTGCTCTTTCTGGAGTGGGTGCCTCCCTCTTCACCTCCAGGTCTGGTTCAAAAGTGTCCCGGCCCTTCCTGGTCCATTTCCTTCTTTCCACTTCCTCCTTGTTCTGTTCCAGTTTCACGTGACTCTCCTGGCTTGGTTTTTACAGCCTGCCACCATCTCCTGTGCCAGTTTGTGTTTCGTTCCTCAGTGGGTACTTATCTCTCAGGGCAGGGTCTGTGTCCTGCTCACTGTTGTCTCCAGCACCTGGAACTGCATTTTCTGTCTGCTGTTCCCTCCCCGAGTCAGCAGCCTCCGTGAGGGTTCTTACACAGTGACTGGAATGCGCCATTTCTCTTGAGGGTCCTCGGGTTACAGGTGTTCTGCACAGGAACCCAGCACTGATATTGTCCCTTCTCTCCTGGCTCAGGAGGGAGATGACAAGATTGAATACCGAGCCTGGAACCCCTTCCGCTCCAAGCTGGCAGCAGCAATCCTGGGCGGTGTAGACCAGATCCACATCAAGCCTGGGGCCAAGGTGCTGTACCTTGGCGCAGCCTCGGGCACCACCGTCTCCCACGTGTCTGATATTGTCGGCCCGGTGAGTGGGCAGGAGGTCGAGGGAACTGGCCTGCCGTTCCCCTGCACTTTGTAGTAGAGATAGAGCTGGGTACAGTATTTATTCTGTGAGAGGGACAGCTTGAAGCAGAGTTCCTGGGTCCTTAAGAATTGTAAGCCAGTGTTAAAATAACACAGAGCTGGGAGTGTACATGCCAAACTATTTTGGTTGCCTTCTTGAAAAATTTATGTTCTAGGGCTGAAAGGAGTGGCTCAGTCATTAAAGTGCTCGCCACACAATCCTGAGGACCTGATTTTGATCCTCAGACTCCATTAAGAGAAAAAAAGCCCAGCTGTGGCGATGGGCCTTTCTGGTAACAGCACTAGGAGTGCAGCAACAGGCCAGTCTCTGGAGCTTGTTGATCGGCAGCCGCTTGTCTAATAGCTCCACACCTTGTCTCAAAAATAGGACTGGGGAGTGGCAGGGAGCTGGTACTCGCCTTTAGTCCCAGCAGTTGGAAGGCAGAGGCGGGCACATCTCTGAGTTTGAGGACAACCTGATCTACAGAGGAGATCCAGGACAGCCAGGGCTACACAGAGAAACCCTGTGTCAAAACAAACAAAAAGGACATGTAGAGCTGCTCAAGTGCCTGATGTCCTCTGGCTTTCACACACACAGCAAACGTTGTTTCTCCCAAATCCAGTGTTCTGCTCCCCCACCATCAGCCTGCATTGGGGGTGGAACCTCGGGCTTCTTGAGGCAGGTGGCTGCCAGCAAGTCACATCCCAGCCCTTGGTTTCTACTGGTGAGCTTGTGTTCTCTGGCAATTCAGTTTCCCAGGGCAGAGAGCATGCGTGTCTCACTTCACAGCCTCTTGCTGCTTGAGTGAATTACAAGCTGTTTTATCTGGTGAGTGAAAGCCCTGTGCTTGGCTGGGTGTGAAAACACACACCTTTGTAATCGTAGCCTAAGCTACATATTTAGACCTGGTCTAAAAACCAACAGTAACAAAACTCGGACTTAGGCATTTGACCATGTGTGGCTCTAGCGAGGCAACCGAGCTCCTCGAGCCAGCGGTTAACCCGGTGGAGAACAAGATTGTTTTGAAAATTAAACATTTCCTGTGAGTGCTGGCCTATTACAAATGCTGGTAGCTCTGTTCCTTCATCTCTCCCTGGGTGCCTGAATTTTTAGCTGGTGTGGTAGCCGGGGCTCACGGGTCAGATACATTAGGTTCTTGTAGCTTGTTGCTTGTGAATAACCGTGCAAGTTACTTCTCGTCCCTAGACCCACTTATTCATCCCCACTGCAGACATAGTGACAGGTATTCAAAGTAGGGTTTTGATTGAGGGTCTGAGGATGTGCTGTGTGTGCCACACAGGCCCAGTGTTGGCAACCGTCCTGGAGAGCTCATCCCTGTTGGCTTTATTGTAGGATGGTCTAGTCTATGCAGTTGAGTTCTCCCACCGCTCTGGCCGTGACCTCATCAACTTGGCCAAGAAGAGGACCAACATCATCCCCGTGATCGAAGATGCCCGGCACCCACACAAGTACCGCATGCTTATCGGTGAGGGGCTCGGGGACCCAGGGAAGCTGGGGTGAGCACTGTGTGCTTCCCACAGGGGCCTCCTGGCTGCAGGAAGGTGAGGGTCTGCAGGTGGAGCACAGCAGGCTCACCTCTGCTCTTCCTGGAGTCCTAACACATGACACTTTTTTACACTGTCCTGGTCTGTTTTTCAAAGCCTCTTGCCTTCCCTTATATTATCTGATGAGATTCCCGCCCTGAGCACAGCAACTATGACTCAAAGGCTTTGTTTTTTTAAAAAACACCTCAAAGGTCCAGTATAAAACTGGAGAGCCTCTTGAATTCCTCCAGAGGTACTCAGTACTTGCCATCTTCGTTTCCAGATTCTTAAAGTTTTTCATTACATCGTGTATTTGTTGTTATTTTACATTATACTACCTTAAAACATCTTTCATTACACTTTTTTTGTTTGATTTGGGTTTTGTGGGGTGTTGGTTGGTTTGGGTTTCTCCTGTGCATTTTGTCGGGGCGCTCAGCCCCTCCTCTGGTCATGTGGTAGCCCTGCCTATGTCCAGTCTTTCTCCTGTGTCTTTTTGATGATGTGTCTGTCTTCTGCCAGACTCAGGAGGATCTTGTGGGCAGGGTCCGGGTCGAGCTCATATCTGTGTCCCCCTTGCCCAGCCCAGGGCTGGCCACAGAGTAGGTGGCCACTATGATTTACGGGAGGAGTGGATGGGTCATGTGACTTTGGGTTCCGGTTCTGCCTTTGGGGTGCTCTGGAGGGAGGGTGTGTGGTGGGGAGGAAGACTGGAGGCAGGACACTCCCAGGAACTTGGTGGTGATGGGAAGCTCTGGCGGGTTCTCTGGTGGCTTCTGTTTGAAACTTCTGTGCCTTTTCCCTTAGCAATGGTGGATGTGATCTTCGCTGATGTGGCCCAGCCAGATCAAACCCGGATTGTAGCCTTGAATGCCCACACCTTCCTACGGAATGGAGGACACTTTGTGATTTCCATTAAGGTGTGGGGCTGGACTGTACAGTGGCTGGGTGCTTGATCTCTTGTGTCTGAGCATACTACTTAGCCTGTTTGACTCAGTTTATTAGCTCTCTTTAGGGCTGAAAGACTGATACATATGAAACATTTGGAACAGATTGTGGTATAGAATGAGTTCTACACGAACTGCAACAGGTGCATTTTTCAAAACATTTTGATTTGAAATACAGAAAATTCCCAGGCATCTTCACCATGTTGAAAACTGCCAGCTTGTTGTGGGTTTCAGCTGTTGGTGAGATGGGGAGGAAAAGTCACAAATGTAAACACTGCTGTAGATAAATGGAACAACCTGTTTCCAGCCCGAGACAAATTAAAACTTCTGGGGAGGGGTCACCCTTGGGATGTAAATAAACTGAAATTTTAAAAAAATTTAAAACTCTTCATGAAGTTACAAAATTGCTCAACCCTGGGTCTCCAGATCTGTAACGGAAACATACTTTTAGCTTAAAATGATACCCAGACTTGAGTCCCTTCTCGTCTCCAGGCCAACTGCATCGACTCCACGGCCTCAGCAGAAGCTGTGTTTGCGTCTGAAGTGAAGAAGATGCAGCAGGAGAACATGAAGCCGCAGGAGCAGCTGACACTGGAGCCCTACGAACGGGACCACGCTGTGGTTGTGGGCGTGTATAGGTGAGTGCCAAAGCAGCCTGTGCTCCCCGTGCTGGGACGCCACAGATGCTTCCTACCTGATGCCCTTTGATGTCCTCACAGGCCGCCTCCCAAGGCGAAGAACTGAAACTCTGAGCTGTCTGGAGCAGGAAGAACTGTGTTGTTACTGTTGCACGTGTGCTTTTGTTTTTTGTTTTTTTGTTTTTCTATTAAAAGACTCCTCTGTCTCCCCTGTCTTGGTGCTGATTGCTCATTGGCCGCAAAACGCATGCGCCCTTAATCAACTTTTAGGTGTGCTTGGGGGGTGCCGTGGAAAGTTTCGTGGGGTCACATGGCGCATGCTCCGTTGGTGGCTGCTACGCATGTGCGCGGCTCCGCGCCCGAAGGCGCAGGCGCACAGCGCTTCCCCGAGTCACGTGAGCGGTGTGGGGGCGGAGCCGGGGCAGGGGGGCCGGTTTGTTGTGGTCGCCATTTTGCTGGTTGCATTACTGGGTAATCAGGGCCCTGGCTCGCCGCGTCCGCCGGACACCCGCAGCCAGTGGGCAGGTCTGAGCTCGGGCTCCCCGAGCAGTTTGAGGCCCCTTACCCACGCCCTCAGGTAACGGCGCTGTGGCGGGCGGGCGGCGCGCTTGGGTGGGGGCCGGCCGGGATCCGCCCTGCCCGTCCCCGGAGATGGAGCAAGAGAAGGGAGGGGGCCTCGGGCCGGCGCGGCGGATCCCGGCAGCGCACGGCCAGATTCCTGGAAGGGGCTGAGCCCGAGGGAGCCGTCCAGAGAGGGAGTCCGGGAGGGGGCGGCCGGCCCCACTCCCGCCCTTTGTTTGGGCTCGGCGGCGCTGGCCGCTTCGTTGTCGCCTAGCAACAGCTGCCCTGAGTGCTGATTGGTTAAGCTTTTAGCGGCAACGACCAATAGTGCGGTTGTTGCCATGGGAGGTGCGGCCTGCCGGGCTCAGTTGGGCCCCGCCCGCCGGGACTCCACCGGCCGGGGCGGGCCTGCGGGGTGGGGGGCGGGACGCCAGGGTCCCTGGGGGCGGGTGGCCGCGCGGGGTGGGGCTGGGCCGGAGGGCGAGGGCTAGCCCTCCCCTCCCCCGTCCACCTGCTGTCCCCTTCTCCACCACCCCACCCCACCCCCTCGTGCCCCGGTCTGACCCTCGTCCCCCCCCCCCCCCCGCCCCCCCCCCCCCCCCCCCCGCGGCGGTGGCGGCGGCTGCTGTTGTCACCCACCCGGCCGCCTGTCCCGCTTGCCCTCACCGCCGAGGGCTGGCCAGGCCAGCCGGGCCCGGGACAGGCGGCCGCCACCTCGTCACCACCACCGCCGCCACCATCATCGCCATGCTGGCCGCTCGCCCACCGCACTGGGGGCCCCACCGCACTGCTCCAGCCCCCCGTGGGCCCAGCGCCAGCCCTGACCCGGGTAGGGTGGGAGCTGGAAGAGCCGGTCCTGGTGTGGGAGGGCTCGGGAAGAGGTTGTTTGTCGGTGAAGCCCCAATAAGGGGACCTGGAGTAGCAAGGCATAGGCTCGGAGGGAATCTGACATGGGGGAGGCTCCTAGGGAGAGGATTTTGTTCCGGACAACACTTTCAGAGAGAGAAGTCTTGTGTGATATATAGGGATTTGGCTGTTGGACCCTTCTAGGAATAGACTCGATTGTGGAATGATCCGGTTTAGAAATATTGCTAGAGGGATAGCAAGGGTCCCAGTGTAAGAGAGAAAAAGTGACTCGAAACTGTTGAGAAATGGCACTGCCCGCTTGTTTCCTGAAGAGTCGAGGTCTGGGAGAAACGGAGACATCCTAGTGGGGTGAATCTAGAGCGGTTAGAAGGGCCGCTGTTGCAGGAGACCCTGTATGGGAGCGGCCTGGAGCGCGGAGTGGATGCCGGGGCAGAATGTGCTGTGGAGGCTGAGCCATCTGTAACGCTCGCGTGTAAAGGAGTTGTCAGATAACCTTGGCTTCGCTGGGAGGTCCACAGGGCTGCTTATGCTCCTTAGAGTAGAAAGAAGTGGTGCATAGAGCGGACTTGAAATTGGGCCCTGGGTGTTGAGGGACGAGCATGTGAGGGCGGGGCCTCTGAGCGACTCCAGGCAGCCACCAGCAGAAATTCAAAGAAAGAATGAATTCTGCCGCCCAGGCTCTACACGGTTTCTGCCTTCTCATTTGCTCTCCCAATTACTGGCCCCTTTCTACCCTTCCATCCTGGCCTTGTACCCACCCTCCCACACACCCGTATGTCTCTAATGACTCTTTTTGCATTTTCTCGATGTTTTGCCTCATTCATTTTTTTGTCCCATCATTTGTTGAGGGACATGGCTAAGTCAACCTGTTTGTCGCTCTCTTCTGTCTCCGCATTGCTGCCTGGTGCTGGTGCTCTGCCTACTCGGTTTGCCTCCCGCTTGCCCTGCCCCCTTCTTCATGTCCACCTCTTCTCTCCCTGGCCCTGACCTCCAAACCGCCTTGTTCCATGTTCCTCCCCACTTCCTACTTGCTCTCAGGTCTCAGCGGCGGTGGCAGCCGAGGTGCAGGATGCGAGAAGGCGCCCCCAGGCCGGGCTCCCGCTCCAGGCCTCACACCCCTGCGGCCCTCTGAGCCCACCATGGCCATCCCACCAGGCCATGGTCCCTTCTCTGGCTTTCCAGGGCCCCAGGAACACACACAGGTAGGCATTCAGCTGGCTTCTCAGCTGCCTGAGGATAGAAGGGTCTCCAGACAACAGCATGATTGTTGGAGGACCTCTGGAGATTTTGGAGGCCTCACAATACTGGAAGAATTTGAGGCAGTTGGAGTTTGGAGAGTCCACCCTCATTACTGCTGAGGACTGAATTCTTGAGCTTCTCCACAACCTTCTCTCAGGGCAGTTTTGAGGGTTAAACAAGTGAGTGCAGGTCAGGCTTAGAACTGGCACTCAGCAGACCGAGACACAGGTCTGAGAGTTCATAACAAGGAAGAGGTCTGGGGTGAAAAAATGTGGAGGGATCAGAAGGAACTGAGCTGAGGTCAGTGGGAGACCCAGGGAGTCCAATGCCAACCAAGAGTTTTAGGAACTGGGCAGTAACACTCACTTGAGGGTGAGGACATGGAGATACAGGGATTTGGTGGCCTGGTTCCCAGAAACAGTGATCTCAGATGCAGACATTTGGGGGACAGAACCCATATATGGCTGAGCAGACCAGGGGCTGAGTAGTTGAGAGGTCAGTCACTCTTTGCGCAATAAACAGATGCCTAGGAAACTCCCCAGTGTGTACCAGGCTCTACAGGGTGGGATCTGTCCTTGAGCAGAAGTACATGGGTGTGGGCATGGGCAGTGTGTTGTCTCTTTCGCAGTCTCCCTGGACATCGGAGGTGAAGGCTTGTGCTCAGTGTCTTCCCCGTTCTACTGCAGGTACTGCCTGATGTGCGGCTACTGCCTCGGAGACTGCCCCTGGCCTTCCGGGACGCGACCTCAGCCCCACTGCGCAAGCTCTCGGTGGACCTCATCAAGACCTACAAGCACATCAATGAGGTGGGTGGGGAATGGGATTCCCTGGCTGGCTGTGGAAGAGGGTCCGGGCTTCTTGCCCGGGTCGCTCAACGGTCTGCCTTCCTGGCTACCTGAGCAGGTATACTATGCGAAGAAGAAGCGGCGGGCCCAACAGGCGCCACCCCAGGACCCGAGCACCAAAAAGGAGAAGAAGGTCCTGAACCACGGTTATGACGACGACAACCACGACTACATTGTGCGCAGTGGCGAGCGCTGGCTGGAGCGCTACGAGATCGACTCTCTCATTGGCAAAGGCTCCTTTGGCCAGGTACTCCCCACGCACCCGTGTGTGGGTGCAGATCACCACCAACCTTACTGGTGGCTCACTGCTGCTAGTCCTGTTGGGCCAGCCACTCAGCCACTTAGTTTCCTCCGTCTTTGTTCTGTAAAAGTGTAAACAAGGCTCCTGTAAGAGAACTGTGTCATTTTGTATCCAGTGCAAGGGATGGGAGCAGGCTGTGAGCTTTAGTGGTTAGAAAGTGTGGCTGGTGGGCCTCCCCCTCCCCAGGTAACTCTCCTTGTCTCAGCAGGTGGTAAAAGCATATGATCACCAGACCCAGGAGCTGGTGGCCATCAAAATCATTAAGAACAAGAAGGCCTTCCTGAACCAGGCGCAGATCGAGCTGCGGCTGCTGGAGCTCATGAACCAGCACGATACGGAAATGAAGTACTACATAGGTGAGGGCGGCGCCTGAGCAGACAGGCCTCAGCGAGGACCTGCGGCTTCCCTGCCCCGTGGATGCTCCTGCTGAGCTCAGGGCCAGCCTGTGCTGCAAGCACTTCAGCTGAATTACCTCCCCCAACCTGCTGAGAGAGAGGGCAATTTTGTGCATGTCTTGGAGATAAGAAACCAAGGCTATCATGTACATGAGGTGACCGTTCATACTCAACAGTTAATGTGGGAAGTGGTGGCCTCTGGAACTCTGACTCTTGAGATGTGTCCCAGTCTTCAGTTCCTCCAGGAAGAGATTCTAAAGAGTTTAGCCAGCGGCCCTTGCCACAAAGATGGATACAGCAAAGAGGAAAGCAGGTTCATTTGTGTAGGTTTGTTTTTGTTTTTTGCTGGTGGTGGTACTTTTGGAATTTTTTTTGCCAAAGTTTTGTTTTGCTATACTGGGGATCAAACCCAGAGCTTCATTTATACTAGGCAAGCAGTCGTGTTGTCTTTCACGCACGCACGCGCGCACACACACACACACACCAGAACTACATCTCTAGACTTTTTTTTTTTTTTTTGAGATGGGGTTTCTCTCAGTAGCCTTGGCTGTCATGGACTTGCTTTGTGGACCGGGCTGGCCTTGAACTTCTGCCTCTGCCTGCTGAGTGCTGGGATTACAAGTGTGCGCCACTGCACCAGCTCCATACCTCTTTATACTTATTTTGAGATAGGGCCCCACTGACTGAGTTGTCCAGATGGGCCTTGAGCTTAAACTTTTGGAGCATCAGCGTGCAAAGACATGGGCCAGCACGCCTATACCACCAGGCCTGGTTCCGTGTTATAAAATGAAATGAGGCATGGAACTGTTCTGAAGTTCTTTTAGGAGGTAACAGTACCTCTCCCCTCTCCCCCCGCAGTGCTGGGGATTGAACCCAGAGCCTTGTGCTTGCTAGGCAAACATCCCCTGCCTTACAGTACTGTAACCGCTAAGTGACACCACCCTTTGCTTTTGTTTTTTGATTTTTTGCTTGTTTGCTTTTGGGGGGGGGGTTGGGTTTTTTTGATTCACTGTGTAAACCAAGCTGGCCTTGAGCTCACCATCCTCCGTTTTATCTTTCCAAGTGCTGGGATTACAGTCATGCTCACTGCTCCTCCTGGCAGGAGCCTTCCATTTGGTAAAAATTGGAAGGTGTGAGAGCCTCAGGAGAATTAACATGCTTTGGCAGTCCAGTGAGTGGGTGCAGAAACTCCTGAAGGCTCACTGCAGTTTCCCAGAGGTGGCTGCTGTGTGGCCCCGGCCACCTGCCCTTTCAGCGTGTCTGACCTGTTGCCGGATGTCCCCCACAGTGCACCTGAAGCGACACTTCATGTTCCGGAATCACCTGTGCCTGGTGTTTGAGCTGCTGTCCTACAACCTGTATGACCTCCTGCGCAACACACACTTCCGAGGGGTCTCGCTGAACTTGACGAGGAAGCTGGCGCAGCAGCTCTGCACAGCGTTGCTCTTTCTGGCCACACCTGAGCTCAGCATCATCCACTGTGACCTCAAGCCTGAGAACATCCTGCTCTGCAATCCTAAGCGCAGCGCCATCAAGATTGTGGACTTTGGCAGCTCCTGCCAGCTTGGCCAGCGGGTGCGGCTCTGACTCTGGGCAGGGCCAGCGGCCCGGGTGGGATGGCATGGGACAGCTTCATTTTGGCCCTGGAAGCTGATGCCCTAGAGATGGTACTGGTCTTAGGGAGGTCCACCTGGAGGGAGGGCATCAGAGGTTAAGGGGGCAGAGAAAACCCAAGCAAAGAGGAGAAGAGGTGAAGCTGAGGGCTAGGCAGCTCCTCAGAGGAATGCAGTTGTGATCTGAGCCTGAGCCGTGCTTTGCCGACTACTCTCAGGTCACAGGTAGGGGACCGTGAAGCCTTGCAGCCTGCTGTGAACAGGCCAAGTCCCAAGGCTTTGCTGCTGTTCTACAGTGTGGGATGGCCAGCCCTCTTAAACAAGAGGGACCAGACCTGGGGATGGAGACAGGGTTAAAGCAGGTCCTCGAGGACCAGAGGCTGATGAGCGACAGTGACTGGCTTGTGCAACACTGCTGAGGACCTCAAGATGTAGAGGGGTTCTGTCCTGCTTTCAAGCAGGGAGCAGGCGCCCTGACTACTGTCCCTCCCCCAGATCTACCAGTACATCCAGAGCCGCTTCTACCGCTCCCCCGAGGTGCTCCTGGGCACCCCCTACGACCTGGCCATCGACATGTGGTCCTTGGGCTGCATCCTTGTGGAGATGCACACGGGAGAGCCCCTCTTCAGCGGCTCCAATGAGGTGTGCCCCCGGAAGGGTGTGCTGGAGGGGGAGGGGTGGAGCCTGCGGCCTGGCACCCCTGACCGCCGCGTGCCCGCAGGTGGACCAGATGAGCCGCATTGTGGAGGTGTTGGGCATCCCGCCCGCGCCCATGCTGGAGCAAGCACCCAAGGCCCGAAAGTACTTTGAGCGGCTGCCTGGGGGTGGCTGGACCCTACGAAGGACAAAGGAACTCAGGAAGGTGCGGCCCCTGCCCTGTGCCACTTAACCCTCCTTGGGTGGCCCCTCACTCACACTTGGGGCTCCCCTCTCCCTGCGTCTTTCCCTGTCTTCCTCTCACCCTTGTCTGTCCTTTCCTTCCTCTCCCGCCCACCCCATCACACCCCACACCCCACAGCTCCTGTTAGCTTCTCTTTTCCTCTTTTTCTCTTGTGCCTCTGTTTCCCCGTGTGTGTCTCCCTGCCCCTCCTGCCCACTGACGGCCACTCTCTTGCCCCCCCTCCCACCCCCTCCCTGCCAGGATTACCAGGGCCCCGGGACACGGCGGCTGCAGGAGGTGCTGGGCGTGCAGACGGGCGGGCCCGGGGGCCGGCGGGCGGGGGAGCCGGGCCACAGCCCCGCCGACTACCTCCGCTTCCAGGACCTGGTGCTGCGCATGCTGGAGTATGAGCCCGCCGCCCGCATCAGCCCGCTGGGCGCTCTGCAGCATGGCTTCTTCCGCCGCACGGCCGACGAGGCCACCAACACAGGCCCGGCAGGGAGCAGTGCCTCCACCTCGCCGGCGCCCCTCGACACCTGCCCCTCCTCTAGCACCGCCAGCTCCATCTCCAGTTCTGGTGGGTGCCCAGTGTCAGATGTGTACTGCAGGGCCCACCCCGGGTGGCCTCGCCGCTGGGCCTCTGTCACAGAGCCCCAGGAGCTACTGGATCCTGAGCTCCGCAGTGGGGTGGGACAGTCCCACGTGACCAACAGGACCTCTGACTGGATCCGAGCTTGAGACTCCACCCCCTAAAACTGACGCTAGCCCTCCACAGAACTCCGACCCTACATTTCAAAATTGGGGTGTTGGAGCCTTCACACAGGCTCTGGTCTAAGCTTAGGGTCTAGGTGGTGAGTAGACTCGCCCCTTGCCGTCGTCTTACCACCTCTGCCCTCTTCTCTCCTGACCTGGTGCTTCTAGGAGGCTCCAGTGGCTCCTCCAGTGACAACAGGGCCTACCGCTACAGCAACCGATATTGTGGGGGCCCCGGGCCCCCTATCACCGACTGTGAGATGAACAGCCCCCAGGTACTGTGAAGCCTTGGAGGTGGGTGGCAGGTGCCTGGGATTTGAGGATCTCACCACCCATGACTCCTTTTGCTTTTTTAGGTCCTACCCTCCCAGCCACTGCGCCCCTGGGCAGGGGGTGATGTGCCCCACAAGACACATCAAGCCCCTACCTCTGCCTCGACATTGCCGGGGACTGGGTCCCAACTACCCCCCCAACCCCGATGCCTTGGACGACCCCCATCACCAACATCACCACCACCCCCAGAGCTGATGGATGTGAGCCTGGTGGGCAGCCCTCCAGACTGCTCTCCACCTCATCCAGCACCTGCCCCCCAGCACCCAGCTGCCTCAGCCCTCCGGACTCGGATGACGGGAGGCCGACCACCTCTCCCACCCCCTGACGACCCTGCTACTTTGGGGCCTCGCCTGGGCCTCCATGGTGTACCCCAGAGCACAGCAGCTAGCTCATGACCCTGCCCCCTCCCTGGGGCCCCTCCTGAAGCCATACCCCACCCCCATCCGGGGGCCCTGGGCTCCCATCCTCATCTCTCCCCTTGACTGGACTTGCTGCTACCCAGCTGGGGTGGGTGAGGCCTGCACTGACTGGGGCCCAGGGCAGGGGGTCAAGGGAGAGGGGTTTGGCCGCACCCTTCCCACTAAGCCTGGACCCTTGGCTCCCCCACCCCCTTGTTTTCTATTTATTGTACCAAAGACAGTGGTGGTCCGCTAGAGGGGAGACGCCCCTACCCAGGGCCCTCGGAGGGGGGGGGGCAGGTAGGGGGAGATGGCCTTGCTCCTCCTCGCTGTACCCCCAGTAAAAAGCTTTCTCACATGCCTGCCTGAGCGTTTGCAGGGCCTTGGCCCCCTCCCCTGACCTCAGAGGCATGGTGGAGAAGGTGGTGTGGGGCGGTGCTTCGTGGTGTGGGTATATCCTTCCTGGGGACATCACAGTGCTTGGTGCAGGCGAGGGGCAGCCCGAGGCTAGTGGGCTGGAGCACCTAGACGCATCCTGGGAACAACAGTCCCGGCCCACACCTGCCTTTTCCAGAGTAAAGGCCCCCTCCTGGCCTATTGCTAGGAACTGGCATGTTCTGCCCTTATCCGTCAGGGCTTCCGTAGAGTCCACCCAGAATTGGCTTCTTGTGTCAGGCAACCATCCGGTAGGCTCTGGGTGTGTTCGGCAGGCCTGTCTTTATACCATCCGGGGAGCAGACAGGCAGTGGGCAAATTTTACCCCACCTGTGTCCAACCCGCTCTGGAGTCATTGCAGAGTAGGAGATTCCCGGGCAAAAAGACGCTCCCTGCCTTCCAGGTAAGTGATTTTTTTGTTTCCATGGCAATTTGGAACCAACTGTCTCCCAACCAGCCTTGTAAAAACCACCTGGTTTTAACTGTTAGGATCGCACAACGGGCGGGCGCAGTGATTCCTGGGAAATGGAGCTCTACAAGGCCAGCTCTTTGCTCACTTTTCTTGGGAAACGACAAAGCCCAGAAGTCTTTGCGCACGTGGCTGGGGACAGGCGTTGCATGAGGAGTCTGATAGTAAGGCCCGGATGTTGGAGGGTCCGTAGAGCAGCTACGGTGATTGGATGATGCGCAGGAGCGGGTTGGGTAGAGAGCGGTAGGCAGCCGGCCTTGCGGGGGTGGGGGTGGGGTCTTTGGGCCAGGCAGTGGAGGGCACGTGCAGAGGCCGAGGCGAGCAAGTCATGGAATGCTGATGGCAGTGATCATTTTGAGAATATCGTTGAAGATCTGTCGGGGAACTTTACCTAGAGAGCTGGACTTTTTCGAAGGGCCCGAAGCACCATGAGAAGGTGCAGAGCCCCGTTTTGCGGCAATAGGAAAGTACGTTGCCGGAAAAAGACAGGTCTGGCCGCTCGCAGCAGGCGCTTAGGCAAGCATCGCCTAGGATGTGACAGGACAGGGGTGGTGCCGAGAAGGCCAGGAAAGGACAGGTGAGCTTTCCAGACGATTGAGTGGAAGGATGCCATGGAGAGGGCCAGGGAAGGGCGGTCTCCGGCACGTAGAGTGCCCCCATTGATAGTGTTTGGGTTTGGTTTTGTTTTTAATTGTGTTTTTGTGGTGCTGGGGGTGGAACCCAAGAAATCTACACAAATTCTACACACCCAGCCTCCCAGTAAAAAGATTCTGAATGAATAGTTCTTGAGGACAGGAACTGCAGTGACCTCTCCGAGTTTGGGGATACTGAGGGCAAATGGAAGTTGTTACTTGCCTAACGTCACACATCTAGGAAGTAGGCTCAGGTTGGTGTGTGTGTGTGTGTGTGTGTGTGTGTGTGTGTGTGTGTGTGTGCACGTGCGCGCCAGTCATTGATTTCACAAGGCTTTTTTGAGCCTGGAAGCATCTGCAGGGCAAGCTGGAAGGCCCTGTGAGGACTGTGGAGTGGGCGTGGGTATCATTTGTATTTGTGGTTGAGCTCCAGGCTGACCTCATACCTCCTTGGTTATTATCTCCGGGTACTCTCGTAAGTTCAGGCAGGTGGAAGTCTGTGACGTCCTCCTCATTGGTCTTCCTGCCCTTGCCATTCTCCCATGTAACCAAAGAGTCTCCAGCACCTATATTTTTCCTCCCTGCTGAGAATCCCTCTGGACTCCATCTCCTCAGGGTAGAAGCCCACACCCTTTCCGTGGCCTGCAGGGTTCACCATCTGCCCTTCTCACCTGTCTGAACTGGCTGGATCTCTCTCCCTCTGCTCCAGCCACACTGGCCCCAGGCCCTTTGTACTTAGTATTTTCTTCTCCTGGTCATTTGTCTAGACAGCCCAGACTCCCTGCCTGACCACTCTTTGGAATTATACTGCTATCATCCCTGTCCATTCCTCCTTTAACCCTTTCCTTGTGTCAGTCACATCGCTGCTGGCACAGGCTGAAATTTGTCTCTCAATCCCCGCTCCCTTCTGGGAACCTTGAACTTCTTAGAAACAAGTCTTTGTTTCCCACCTGGAAGAATGTGTGGCAGCCGTCAGGCTCACTGCGAAATGAGCACAGCCGATCGCAGCCTCCTGGACATTCCGCTCATCCCGTCTGTACAGCTGAACACCTCTGAGAGCACAGGACAGGCAACAGGAGGTGTTTTGCTTCCGTGGTGTAGGATGCAGGAACACAGCAGAGAAGCTAGGCTAGCTTCTCGGTCTTGAAAGAACTCGCTGTCAAGGTAGGATTAGTCAGGGAGCACAGCAGAGCTCCCTGGGAAGTGGCCAGGAGCAAGAGCATTGAAGGAACATCTGAGAGCAGTGTTTAATGTGGCTCCTAGGGTGAGGTTCCAGACCATGGGGTTGGCATTGGCTCTGGGCAGAGAGAACTGTGATGACCGGCACCCATAGGCTGAAGTGGAGTAAGGGGCCACACTTTGCCCATCCTGAGAGGACTGTGAGCCATTGTCCATGCTTCCACACTCCCACCCACACCCCGGCCTATGTACGGAGATTTGCGGAAGAAGTTTACTCAGTGGGGCAGGGTGTAAGGTTCGCTGTGTTGGTGCTTGTTTTGGTGTATGAGGATTTTGCCTGCGAGTGTGTCTGCAGGTTCGTGCCTGGATACCCTTAGAAGTCAAAAGAGAACATTGGATCCCCTGGAATTGGGGTTGTGGCTAGTTGTGAACCATTGTGTGGGTGCTGGGAACTGAACCTAGGTCCTATGGAAGAGCAGCAAGTGCTCTTAACTGCTGAGCCATCTCTCCAGCCCCAGTTGTATATTTTAAAGTTTCCACTGATGTGTTTTTACAATGGTTGCACTTAAAGGTAGTCCCCATTCTCTCTTGTTTCTACTCAAGAAAGGGAAGCTCCTGACCTTGAGTAATGGCTGGGCCAGTAATTTGAGCCAAATGGCCTTAACATGCCTGATAGCCTCTTTGATCACCCCTGGTGCCCTGATTTTTTGTTTGTTTGTTTGTTTTGTTTTGTTTTTTGTTTATCGAGACAGGGTCTCTCTGCACAGCTCTGGCTGTCCTGGAACTCACTCTGTAGACCAGGCTGGCCTCCAATTCACAGAGATCTGCCTGCTTCTGCCTTCCAGAGTGCTGGGATTAAAGGTATGCACTGCCACACCCAGCTTCTTTATTTTGGGGGGTGTTGGGGTAGTTTTTTTTGGTTTTATTAAGTTTGGTTTGGTTTAGTTTTAGTATTTCAAGACAGGGATTCTCTGTGTAGCCCTAGCTGTCCTTGAACTCAATCAGTAGACCAGGCAGGCCTCGAACTGAGAGAACTTGGGAGGCCTGCCTCTGTCTCACAAGTGCTAGAATTAAAGGCGCGCACCACCACAACCACAACCAGCTCCCTGATTTCTTCATAGAGGTCCAGCATCTGTCCCTCAGCTGTGCCAAATAGCTGCCTAGCATGGTGGATCTTCTATCCCAGCTGACACTGCCCTGGAACAGCACCCTCCTCAGGCCACTCCCCCTGTCTACATTCCAGAATTAGGAAATAAACAATTGTGATTTTATGACGCTGTTTTAGGATGCCATGCTACTCAACAATAGCTAATTGAAGTAAGGAGGTATTTTTAAAATCATACACAGTAAGATTGTGTAATTATGTTATAGCTAATTGAATCCTCGGAGCTAAATAGTCCTGTTGTTATACCCATCCTACAGATGAAGAACTGAGGCACAGAGATGTCTCTAAAACTTTGCGAAGTATCTTACCTTTAGTAAGTCCTGAATACTCAGTTATCACTATCAACATTGTGTTTGGCAGCATTAAGGTAGATGTTGAGGGGGTCGTGGACAGGTGAGCGGAAGCATTACCAACCCACTTCTAGGAGTGTAGTTGTAGGCTGCTTCCTTGGCAATATGGGGAGAGCAGCCAGGCCTTGGTATTGTTGGAGTGCATGGAGTCAGCTTGCTTCTGACTTGCTCAGAGGGAATCCAGCAAGTTGTTTTAGAGCCAAGTCAAATTGAGCCTCTTATTACTGGGAAGCCATGATGTCCTAGTGAGCCCTGAGTCCTGTCATTGCTTGTTGGTTTGCCCGATCGCAGGCATTTGCCACTTTGTGAGCCCTGTTGGGAGTGCCAGGGCTACAGCAGCAAAACAAGTGCCCCGTCATTCCAAAGCCTCCTTCCAGGTCAGGGTGCATGGTGGTAAAATGCTGGAGATGAGAGCCGTGCACACTGAGAGCTGGAAGGACAGGAGACGGAGACAGGAGAGCTCTTGAAGGACATCCCTGCCAGGAAAGTAAAGCCAGTTCAGAGGCCCCACTGTATGCTGGAGAGGATGGAAACTGGACAGGCGTGTAGGGGAAAGGTCAGGGTACACGGGCAGCTGTGGCGGGGACTTGACTTTGATGCCAAGTGCCATGGAAAGCATCAGCCCCTTGGAGCTCTGAGGGTGTTCAAGGCCGCCTGACAGCCTGTGGGAAGAGGTGTGGAAACATTCCAGTGGTTCAGTCCAGCTGGCGTTGATGCATGTGGCTTGGCCGTAGTGGTAGCAGGTGAGCTGGTCAGTCCGGTGGGGGGCAAGATTTGCCGCAGGGTGAGAGGGGCCTAGAGCAGCCTGAGTGTAGGAAGGAGGAGGGCGCTGTCTATGTGGAGGAGCACATTTGAGAATGGTCACCATATTGCTAGTGTGAAAGCCCTGTGAGGTCACAGGGGGAACACGGAAGTGGGTATAGGAATAAGAGCACAGAGCCCGAGAAGGGATGGCCACAGTCATCTCTGTGTGAGGTGACAGACATGGACCAGGGCACAGTGTGCTGAGCGGTTACTGGGTCTGAGGAGTGTTGAGTTCAAGTCCCCCTGCCTCATGGGTTGGTCATGAAAAGGGAAGGCCCTTCCGGGAGTAGGGCTGAGTCTGGAGCTGGGACAGCCCCTAGGCTCTCCTGCTGCCAGGCTGAGGCAGGCTTCTGCCTCTGAGCTGCTGCTGCTTCCTCTTTCTCTGAGGGTGGCTGACTACTTTTGAGGAAACCCTTGCCCCAACTCTGTATGCCCTTCCGGCCTAGTTCCCCACAGCTCCTCCGTTCTTGGTCCCGATTTGACCAGCAGGAGTTGAATTCCAAGGACCAGGAGGGCCGTGCTAGACCTGCTGTGTGGCTGAAGGGCTCCTGGGGTGATGTGTGTCTCCTGCAAAAGGCTCTCTGCTAGGCAGGCACACCAAGTCTCACAGAGTGTGCGGACAGCTGGTGTGATGGCTGGAGGATCTAAACTCTGTTTGGTCAGGGGCCGAACCGTTTATGGACGTGGATCTGAGAAGTGGGCAGGAAACAGTAGCCTGGCGGGTGTCCCTGTGGAAACTAGAGTCCAGGGGTCTCTGAGCTGAGAAGGGCTCAAGGTTAGGTCAGGCACAGTCCAGTCCCAGTTTCTCTCCATGTGTTCCTACGAGCCAGACAGTGACAGCAGAGCCAGCCTCTGCCTTCACAGAGCACACGAGCCGGTGCCAAGGCAGACAGCAGTCAAGGCTGAAATAGGAAAGCAGGTTTGGGCAAGTCATGGTGGCAAGACGAAGAGGAGCAAAGGGCTGTGGGAACCCAGGGTCCACATCTGGCCAGTGTGAGGTATCAAGGAAAGCAGATGGAGGTGAGGCCTGCGGGAGTCAGAAGGAATAGCTGGTGACCACAGGAGCCAAGTCCGTAGGGAGGAAATTTTCCTGTTCAATAATTCTAGCTTTGTAGAAAAGTGCCAGGGGTCATGCATAGGCTGTCCCCAGATGTACCAGGCTTTCCCAGGGTGTAACACACAGTGGTTGGCAAGCTCAGGAGAGTGCTGCGGGGCTGCGTGCTCCTGAGTTGCACCCTGTTGGCAGTCCTCACCAGAAGCTCTGGCTGGCAGCAGCCACTGTGGATCCTTATAAGAATTGTTGTATTTCTCTAACAGTTGGACGTCAGCATGAGCGGAGGGGTGTTACCGTCCGGGGGAGCCAGTGCTGTGGTTCAGTTTGTTCTGCTCTGCTGTCGTCTCCCGGCAGGCCCCTGCGTCTGCTCTGCTCTCCCTCCTTGAGTTCCCCCTCCCTGCCCCTGCACCATGAGGGGCTGGTGAGCTGTCCTCCGGGCGGCCCTGAACCCGTCCGCTGGTCTAGGCGTGAGGCGTGCACTGCCTGTGTCCTAGCTGGTGGCTAGCTGTGGCCTCACGTATTTGTAAGCGCGCACACGCACACCTCTGCATTCCTCTGTGTGTGGCTCAGCTCAGCGCTCAGTATTCGCAGATTCCTGTTTCCTTTGTACCTTCTTCATGGCAAGCAGGCTGCCCCTGTGTGCGCCTGGTTCTTGTCTCACTGATCATCTCGGCAGAAGCCAGCAGAAGCCCAGGCCTGCCCTTCTCTCTGCGTCCACACTCTGCCACTTTGCTGGCCCCAGAGACTGCATCTAGCAAGTCCCGTGTGGGCCCTCCTCACTCCCGGGCCACTTCACAATCACAGTCTTGTTTCCTGCCTGCCGGTGTTTCTCCTCCGGGTCCTGAGGCCTGGTAAGCTGCCCCTGACCCTAGTGATCTTTGGGCCCTAAGTTCTACGAGCTGTCCCACCCTGCCCTCTCTCAGAGTGGCCCTTGCACGGTCATCAGAGAGAGTCATTCTGGATTCTCTCCTCCCAACACCCTTCTCAGCCCATTTAAACTCAGGGTGGGAAAAAGCTAACTATAGAAGTGGCCAGTGTCTGGCCACATGGAGAAGAACGTCTAGGAAGTGCTTCGCTCCTGCAAAGGCTCTGCAGAGTGGGAGGGAAGGAACTGTGCTGCTCTGGCCATCATACACTGCAGCCCCTGTCACTGACACATCCCAGCTGCCCACCAGGCACCTTCTTGAGATGTCACCAGAAGCCTGACTCGGGTCAGGCTTCTGCCATGTGTCGCAGCATCCAGAGTAGATGACAGGCTCTTAAGGAGAGTGCCACTGTGGAGTCTGGCTGTGAGGACAGTGGGTCAGTGTCCATGAGCTGTCAGTATGGCCACTTGATCCATCTTAGAGTGACCGGTGTGGAGAATACATGTCGTACAGTAACCAGCGGCCAGGCGTGGTGACATAGGCCTGTGCCGCCGCTTGAGTCGCAGAGGCAGGATGATCCTACATTTGAGGCCAGACTGGTCTCAGAAGCCCAAATTGTAGCAATAACTGCCCACCATACGTGGTGGTGTCTCCCCACCAGGCGCAGTTGCTGAGCCCTCTGTAGACTTTCCAGTTGCCGCTTAGCTCTCGAGAAGACATGCTGGGAACAGACCCCGAGCTGACACTCAGCCACACCACAGCCCAGTCACACCACAGTCACCTTGGAACAGCCCCAAAAGGAAGTCATCTTTACTTTCCCAGGTTCTCACTGAAGCGTTTGGAGTTGAAACTTACTGTCTGTTTTGTAAGACCACAGGAGTCTTGGTGCTGGAGAGTGAGCTCAGCAGTAATGAGTACTTGCTCTTCCTAGGATCCCGCTTCTGTTCTGAGCACCTACAAGGCAGCCAGCAGCCCATCCATAACTGCCCTTTCAGAGACTCTAGTGCCCTCTGCTGGCCTCCGCAGACACCAGACACACATGGGCACATACACACATACATACATACATATGCAGGCAAAACATTCATACACAGAAAATATTTTTTTAAAAGCTGGGTATGGTGGGTCAGCCTTTAATCCTAATGCTTGGGAGGTACAGGCAGGCAGGGCTCTGAATTCAAGTCTAGCCTGGTCTACATAGAGAGTTCCAGACCAACTGGGGAGCTACCCAGTGAGACCTGTCTCAAAAGAGAAGACAAGGCCTTACGTAGCCCAGGCTTGCCTCAAACTCACCATGTGGTTTGATCTTGACTCCTGATTCTCCTGCTGCTACCTCCCAGCATGCTGGGCTTCTAGGCCTGTGCCACTGACTGTTAGCTTTCAGCTCTGAAGGCAGGCGCCCTGGGCCTCTCGAGTGTGCCTTTAGCCCTATTCTTCATGGACTCCTCTGAGAGGAGGGTCAGAGCTCTGGTTTTGTGACTTCTCCCTTCAGGAAGAGCTTTGGTGCCTTCCTTCACAGTGGCTATGACTTCCCAGTGTCCTCAGCTGTCTGAAGGAAAAAAGAATTCTTCGTTTCAGGGAAAATTTCAAACACAGAAGCAGAAAGCCCTAACATAGTCCTGTGTCCCAAAGGCCCCACTTCATCTCTGCCGCTGGCTTCATCCCCTGCTCAGCTGTCAGCAAACGCAGTATCTTTAATAGAAGGAACTTTTTTTTCCTTTTTCTTTTTGAGGCAGTGTAGCCCTAGCTGGTCTGAAACTTACTCTGTAGATCAGGCCAGTCTTGAACTGCCTCCCAAGCACTAGGATTAAAATCGTGGACTGCCATGCCTGGCTAATGGAAAAGCTTTTTAAAGCACGGCTCACCACAGTTCTTTGACCCAAGTTAGTCATCTTCTGGCCAGCTGAGTACCTTCTTAGTCCTCTGTTCCCTTTCTCCTACTTTCCAGTCGTGTCACCCTGGAGAGCTTCCTGTAACCTTATGCTCAGGGCCTGTCTGCTCGCCTCTCTACAGCCTGAAAGTGACCCTTCCTAACGACAGGCCAGGTTGCTTGGCAGTCCTGCCCCCTGCAGCAGGACATTTAATCTGCTCGTGGCTGCTGCCGCGGTTGTGGCGCTTCCCTTATTTGGCTTAGTTTCTGGATCCCTGTCCACTCTGGCCAGGTCAGGCCTCCTGGGATACTCCTCGCTCACTGTAACTTTGTAAGAAGCACATGGCATCCACACTAGTCAAAAGAGGGATTTATGATGGTTGTTGCCTGCTGGGAACCTCAAGAGGGCATAAGTCAAGCCTGTCTACCCTGCTGTGTCCCCAGCACCACCCAGACTGTCCACCATGGGGCCTGGCACTCAGTGCTCAGGGCCATACGCAGAATGAGTGCTGTTAGGATGATGCGTGGGTGGATGGATGGATGGATGTGTGGATGGATGGATGGGTGGATGGATGGATGGGTGGATGGATGTGTGGATGGATGGATGGATGGATGGATGTGTGGGTGGATGTGTGGATGGATGGGTAGCTGGGTGGATGGTTGCCAAGCTCAATAGTTAGGCACTTACCATGAGAGCAATAGGCGGCCACAGGAGTTTTTCAGCAGAACTGGCCCATTTCCTCAGTCTTGAATGTGCATTTGACTTCTCTGGGATCTGGGAAGGGCCCAAGATACCACACTTCTAAGGGGCCCAAGATGCGACGGCCTGAGACAGCAAGGGTCTTGCTGTGCCGTGCAGTCAGGAGCCACCAGGTCCAGTGGCTTGGAGCACTTGAGAATGTGGCTCGTGTGAATTGAGATATATTTTAAGTGTACAATACCCACCCAATTTGAAAGATGTGGTACAAAAAAAAATAATTTTTTATATTGCTCACATGTTGATATGGTAATATTTTGGATATCTTGGGTTAAATAAAATATATTATTAAAATTAACTTATATTTGTTTTTATTAAGTGGCTACTAGAAAATTTAAACTTAGGACCAGCAAAATGGCTTAGCAGGCGAAAACACTTGCTACCAATCCTGAGGACCTGAGTTCAAGTCCCAGAGCCCACATATTGGAAGGAAAGACCCAGCCCCCTCAAGTTGTCCTCTGGACTCCATACAACCTCTGTGGCATATGACACATGCAAAAATGAATACGTTTTTAATGCAACAAGATTTAATAATAAAATTAGATCACACTGGCTGCTTGTGTTTTAGACGTCGTCCTGCTGGTCGCCCTGGCCCAGGTCCCTCTGCACCCCTGTCACCACAGCTTCCACGCCTTCCCATCTTTTTGGTGCCTTCTCTCTTTCTTTCTGCAGCTAGGTGTCTGAATTTGCTGTTAGTAGGTTTCTTCCTGGGTAGGTGTGGCACATGCCTGTACTCCCAGCCTCCTGGGTGGCTGAGAGCACAGTTTTGAGGCCACCCTGGACTACATGATAGATACCCTGTCTCAAAAGGTCTCATCCAGAGATTCCTCCACGGCCCTCCCAAGGAAGCTTTCAGGGGCTCTGCTGGTTTCCACAGCTTCGTAGGTTGCCCTGCTCCAGCCCTGGTGACACCATGGTATCTATGTGTGTGTCTTCACGTGTGGGGCGTCTGTGCATTTTATGTACATGTGTGTGCAAGTCAGGTGGCTCCAAGGGTCTCTCGCTTGAACCCACAGCTCACTGATTCCGCCCCTCTGGGCAGCCAGCTTACTCTAGGGGTCCCCATCCCTGTCCTCTGGCCATTGGGATTACAAGCCACCCAATTTAAAGTCATCAGAAAATGCCCGTTGGTTAGGGCTGGTTAAGTGAGTTGGTGTTTAAGGACACTTGCTGTTCTTGAAGAAGACAGATTTGGCTCCCGGTGCCCACATGACTGTTAACAACTGTCTGTGACTACAGTTCAGGGGATCTGGTGTCCTCTTCCGACCACAAGGAACATGTGTGGTACACAAACACACATGCAGGCAAAACATTTTCCCTTTGACAATGTCACTTTACTGGTTAGCGTGTATTCAGTTTGGCTGTGTGTACAGGCGAGGCTAGAAGACACCCTCGGCTGTTCCTCAGGGGCCGCCCACCTTGGTTTAAGATTCATTGTGTGTGTGTGTGTGTGTGTGTGTGTGTGTGTGTGTGTGTGTGACTGGAGGGCGGAAGGGTCCCCTGGGTCCCCTGGAACTGGAGCGAGGCCCCAGCAGCCCCACAGAGTGTCTTAGCTTTGCGACCCTTTCAGTCTTGCAGTGTGTTCTGGTGGGTGCTGTCGCTTTGACCCTTTGACCCTTTGGTAGTTTCCTTGCTGCTTTGCAATCTGTGCGGGCTTTTCGGATCCCTCGGAGACGGCGCTAGAGGAGGTGGTGAGCTGCCTGTGTGTGCTGAACTGAGTCCAGGTCCTTTGGAAGAGCACGGTGGTTTTCTTAACCACTGGAGCCGTCACCCCAACCCCCTGTTTCATTCTTGAACAGCCTATGGACCTGGGAACACCAGACCCAGACCCCAACTACCGACGGTGACTGCAGTTGGAGAGACAGCTCAACTAAGACCAGAGGTGTGCAGGGAGACGTGCAGATCCCATCCACGCACATGCTCTGACCTCACAACCCTGGCCTTCCAGGAGCACTGGGCTGGACTGCCGGAGGGCCACAAGTTTGCATTTCCCAGGAGGACTTGAGTGACACAGACTGGTCCCCTCAGCGCCACAGAGTGCCGTGTGAGGCGACGCTGCATGCCTGTGGGTTGCTTCCTTATTGTTCAGAATCTCGGCAGATAGCCCAGGCTGGCCTGGGACTCACTATGTGACACCATCCACCCTTCAAGTCCTAGTCTCCCTGCTCAGTCTCCAGGGCCTGACACTTGCAAGCTCCCCCAAAGGCTGGCTGTGGCGAGCTGACCTGTGGGCACCAGTCAATACAGTTGGCTGCAGATAGAAGAGCTTGACTCCAGGAGGCTCAAGCCATAGGAAGGACATCCCTCTGCCCACGCACACACATACACAGGGAGGGCAGAGATGGCTCTGCAGCTAAGAGCACTCCTTGAGCTTACAGACGAGGGGTTCAGTTCCCAGCACCCACACGGTGGCTCACTGGTGCCTGTTAACTCCAGTTCCGGGGCTTCAGTGCCCTCTTCCGACCTTGGAGGACACCGCCCGCCGGGCTTCAGGCCTGGGACAAGCTGCTGAGGTGCCTTTGTAACCAAAGTGGACCTGCTTCCAGGTTCTCCCAGCAGCCCTCAGTCCCTACCCGTACAGCGCATGCCTGGCACACCCCGAACTTTCCAGCCCGCGGGCGGGGGGGCCCTCCCCCAGAGGATATTCACTGTATAACTCAGGCATTTTGGTTCCTGCTCGCTCTCTCTCGCTCTCTCCCCCTCTCTCTTCCTTGGGTACATGCACTTGACCCCACCCCCCACCCGGCTTTTCTGTCTTCCCTTCCATGGTGGCGTCCCTGGCCTAGGTCCTTAGGAACAGTGAACCGACGCTCCCAATAACCCTGCATTTAAATACTTTAACATGCCTTGAATTAGCTCAGTTCACTGGCAGAAGGATTCGTATCACACACCAGACATATACATATGCAGGCAAAACAATCATATGCTGAAATCTAAAAATTTAAAAATCTCTAAAAAGATTCTTAAGGGCCCTGGATCACAGCCTGGGGTCTCTTTTCATGAGGTCTAAAGATGAAGACCAGGCTGGCCTCACACTCACAGAGATCCTCCTGCCTCTGCCTCCTGAGTGTGAGGATTAAAAGTTTATGCCAGCATGTCTGGCCTGAGTGGCCTCTCTTTTGATTAGAGATTATAGGATAATTTCTCTGCTGCATATGTCCCATGACGCATCTATCAGATGCGTGTCCAGTTGTGCAGAGCCATAAAATAACTAGAAGAGGCTCCCTAAGGAGCCACCTATAGACACTTTTTTTTTTTTTTCCTTATTACACCTGCACCCAGAAACTATTTCAGGTTGGAGAGGCCTTTCTGGTCTCATACAGAGATATAAGAAGAAGACAGAGTAGAATCTAATGGTGGTTATTAAGGGGAGGAAAAACTTGCTCCCTTGTGCAGGAAAAAGCTGTGCATGCAGCTAGATGCAGCTAGATGCAGCTAGATGCAGGAGTGGGCCCTGTATTGCCAGCAGTTTGCTAGGTGCAAACGCTGGTGAGTCTCAGGCTCCCCACTGCGTTATTGTTAGAAAGGGGGTGTGGAGATAGCCCTGCCAAAAGGAGTCCTGCTCACCAGGGCAACCTGTGTTTTCTAGTGCTATTCTGTGAATCGATGAATTCATTGAGCTAGAAATCTCAAAATAGTGTTTCGTTCGTATAGAGTCAAGCTCAAAGTGAGATTAGTGGTTCTGAGACCTAACAAACAACGAATTCAAACTTGAGGGCTTGTTAAAACATTGGCTGCCACGGGGCTTTGAGCTGCATGCCTGTGATCCTAACACCAGAGGCAGGAGGACTGTGACTTTGAGGGAGCAAATGAGTCAAAAAGAAAAAGGCTGGGATGGGAGGAAAATAAGAAAGAATAGGGGAGAGAGTGACCAAGAATGCATTATTAGTTTGAAACTGGTAAACAGTATTAATAAAACAAAATATAAATTATTAAATAACAAAGAAGAAAACCAAAACAAAAATAAACAAACCAGAAAGCCACCAGCCCTGGTGGACGGTCCTGTAATCCTAGGTACTTGGGAAGCTGAGGTAGGAGGGTCTCAAGTTCAAAGTCTGTCTGTCTGTAGCCAGAGTGAATTTTCAGACGCAAAACCACCCTGAGCAACTTAAGGAAACTCCGTTTTGTTGTGTTGTTTAAAAAAAAAAAAAAATTGCCAGACATGGTGACACATGCTTTTAATAATCCCAGCACTCAGGCGGCAGAAGCAGGTGGCTCTCTGTGTGTCTGTTTACGAAGCGGTTTACGAAGCGGTTCCAGGACAGCCAGGGCTGTTACACAGAGCAGCCGTGTCTCGAAACCACCACCGAGAGAGAGAGAGAGAGAGAGAGAGAGAGAGAGAGAGAGAGAGAGAGAGAGAGAGAAGAAATAGGAAACAATTGCTAAACATGGTGGTTCAGGCCTTTGATACCACCACTTAGGAGGCAGAGGCAAGCGGATCTTTGAATTCAAGGCCAGCCTTATCTACGCAGCCAGGCTTGCACAGTAAAACCCTGTCTCAAATAAATAAATAAATAGATAGATAGATAGATAGATAGATAGATAGATAGATAGATAAATAAATAAATGAATGAATGAATAAATAAATAAATAAAATTTAAACTAAAACAAAACAAATTAGGGGCTGGCAATCCAGCTCAGCAGCACTCTTCAGAAGGCTCTGTGTTCAGTCCCCACTAACGGGGGCAGGGGGGATCACGAGGAAGACAGTGAAGAAAAGGGGAAGCCGAGAAGCGCCCCGCGGCTGGCCCAGGCGCTCCCTCCCTCTGCCTGAAACGCTGCGGGTTCCAGGCTCGAGCTCGCCGCCTGGTGATTCCTCAGTCACCTCGGGTGCTCCACAGTCGGTGTTTCCCCTGACTCAGGCCTCCGTCCGCTCTCTCCCTCCCCTTTGGCATCAGCTGCCGAGGTTGGATTCCCACAGCTGGTAACTGGAGCCCTGCAGCCGGCTGCGTCGCCGGCCTCCACCTGCTCAGGGCACCTGATTGATGCTTCGCGCGCCGCTCCTGCTCCTTTTTTGGTGACTTTCAGAACTGCCTCCAGCCTTCTTACATAAGCAGACGCCTTTCTTCCCAGCCCCTGGGGAGCTGCAGTTACCACATCGTTCCCGGAACAGCCGCTGTCCCACCCAAGCCCTTACTCGGTCCCCAGGGGACCCGCTAATAGGAACTGGCTTAAATGAGGAGCCAATTAATCCTCCTGCACGAGGTAACTGTTCCTGGCGGGGGCCGAAGGTCAGCCTGGCTGAGGCTCGGAGCGTGCGCAAAGGTGACTGGGGCCCCGTCGCCCAGGTTCCGTGGG